GGGGGTGGCTTTTGAGAAGAATAGAATTAATTGTTCTCATTTAACTTTTTAAAAAAAAACAGAAGATTCCAGATAAATGGCATTGCACGACGTGAAGGCAGGCAATTCCCACACAGCCCCATCGATGACGTCGTTTAGCATAGCAGCTCCTCTTTTGACGTTGGTCTGACTTTCCCTCAAGGAACATCGATCGTTTTGCCAGCCTCTGCTCTGCCTCTGCCCCATTGGTCACTGCTGCGGGGGTACTTGTTCTCCAGACCCCTGGTGGCCTGGAGCCCTCTCCATTCAGCAGTAGTTCCGGAACCCATGTGTGTCCTGGTGATGGAATCTGGTGAGGAGCCCTTACCTCTCACAGCTTATGGGAGAGCTGGGCAGATATGGCAGGTGAGCAAATGGGTGCCCTCAAGACAGCGATGTCCAACGCCATGGAGAAAGATGGGCAGGCAGCGGACAGTGCTAGGTGCTGTCTCATGGAAGAGGTGGTCAGGAAACCTCTCTGAAGGAGCAGTATTTGGACAGAAATCCAAACATTGTGCCCAGTGGCAGACAGAAAGAAGAGCACACCTGTGGCCCAGAAGTAGAACGATCTTTTGAGTTTAGAACAGCAGGAAGTCAGTGTGTCTGGAACAGAATGTGTTCTATAAACACCCATAAGCATGTTCTAGGCACAACTAGAAACCCTCCCTGTGACAGCAGAGACCCTGGAGGTCCTGAGGGTTTCTGCTGAACCCTGGGGTCTAACCTCAAAGTTTTTTTTTTTGAGTTGGAGTCTCGCTCTGTCGCCCAGACTGGAGTGCAGTGGCTGCTCCCGACCACTGCAGCCTTGATCCTTCCACCTCAACTTTCCAAAGTAGCTGGAACTACAGGTGCACGCTACCACACCTGGCTCATTTTTTTGATTTATTGTAGAGATGAGGTCTCGCCAAGTTGCCCAGGCGGGTCACGAACCCGCGGGCTCAGGCAATCCACTCACCTCGGCCTCCCAAAGTGCTGGGATTACAGGCTGAGCCACCGAGCCCGGCCACCACAAAGTTTTGATAGCAGGATGGGTGACAGGATATAAGGCCCAGGGCTAAATCTAATAGAAGAGAAGACTCCCATAAATAGGGACCCTAAGTAAACAGCTGCAACCAGTGCATCAAATGAACCAACAAAAGGGTGAATGAAAACTGAGTCCTCCTCAAAGGAATAGCAGCAACACTCCTACCTCGTTCTCCACATAGTGTTGGTTGCAGGGGGGAACATTGCCCCTGGAGTAGCTTTAGTTTACATTTTCTGTGGGACCTCCAAAATTCCTAAAGTGGAAAATTTGATTGAACTGGCCTCTGACTAGTTGTGCTCTCAGACAAGGCAAATACAAAACCTCTCTGGAAGAATGTGGGCAATAATATGAAAACAATAAAGGGCTAGAAATTATCAAAAAGAGATTAGGAAAAAAACCCAGAGATTGTAGGAGTGAAAAATGTAAGAAGTGAAATTAAAGGTTCAATGGACCAGTCAACTAGACTCAACAGAAGAGAAGCTGAGAGAACTGGGAGATCTGAAGACATTATCTAGAAACAACTAGAAAATATGAAAGCAACATCAAGAGACACTGAAGAGTCTGACCTGTGTGTAACCTGGGTCTCAGAAGATGATGAGGCATACTTGCTGACAGGCAACAGTCCCAGACAGAATGGGAAGAGCTCACATCTAGATAGGTCACAGTGAAACTGCAGAATTATTAGAAGACGAAGACACGGCGACATGAATGACTAGCTTCTCAATAGCAGCACTAGAGTTGAGAAAAGAGGAGAATGAGGTCTTCACTGTGTGAGAGAAAATAACTCAACTTGCTTGAAGTACATACTCAGTTCAACTATCATTCAAGAACAAGTCATTCAGATTACAACATGCCTTTCTAACACATGGTTGTTTTCTTAATCTTGGCACCATTAATATTTGGGGCCAGATTCTTTGTTGTGAGGGCTGCCCTGTGAACTGTAGGGTGTTCAGCAACATCCCAGATGCCTGTGGCCATCCCTGTACCCATTTGTGATACCAACCTCCCCCAAAAAAGTATCTCCAGACATTACCAAATATCTCCTGGGGGTGAATTCATCCCCACTGCTCTAGTGGATAAACTTTGGGCAGAAGGAAAATGGTTTCCATTTGGGTAGTTTCAAATGTAAGGAAGAATGCTGAGGAAAGACACAATGAACTGTGACCATGTAAACGAAAAGAAAAGTGGCTTATATGTGGATTCTTTTACACATGTAGAAATACTTAAAATGGGAAAGAGTGGCATATAAATTCGGAGTGGAGTTGACTGGATTTAAAGCATCTTAAGTCCTTGTGCTCTCCTGGAATTGCATGGAGATAGTTCGGTTATCAACTTGGCTAAGTATGCACGCTGAAAGTATGACCACAAAAAGAGTTAGTACATGGAGAACATAACTTCTCTACTGATAGCAGGGGAGAACTGGAGCAAGAATAAGAATGGCACGGAAAAGCTGCAAAAAATACATTCGAAATAAGTTAGCACACAAGAAATGCAAATGGGTTAAAATCTCCACGTAAATGACAAAATTCTCTCAGTAAAGGACAGATTATTAAACTGGATTAAATACAGCTATCTGTATTTACAAGTGACACACCTAAAACAAAAGCACAAAGAAAAGACAGTTAAATACTGACAAAGAAAGCTAGCCCAAGGTCATTAACATAGACATACCTATGTTAGTACTTTAAGACAATGTTATTAGGGATAGAGATTATTACGTGATGAATAAAGACTCAATTCAACAGTAATATGTAGACCTTTCCTACACTTGTATGTATCTTGTAGCAGTCTCAGAATATATTAAAACAAGAAGATATGAATCAACCTCCCCACCATAGTGTATGCTATTGAAAGTGATACATTTGATGTAAAATTAGTTAAGGCATGGTGGAAAAATAAAAGCCCAACCTACTGGATGTGTATAGAATGCAGAACTCGTGTGTGTGTATACAGATTTTAAAATACTTGACAACAAACTCATTTTTAAAAACATGGTTTAAAAAGAAATGATGAAATATTTAACGAAAGTTAATAAAACAGTGTTAATCACAACAGATGGAATCACCTAAAGTGGTACTTAAGGAATTCTGAAATCTGGAATTATTTGTTAGAGAAGAGAGGCTGAAAACTAATGAGCTTAACACATAAGAAGTTAGAAGAATAATTGCAAGAGCAGAATTTATGGAAGGGCACATGAAACATAAGAGACTCAGCAAATGCAAACAGGACTTTACTGGACAGACCTACCCGACAGCAGCGTGGGTCTGTCAGCTGAAGTGAAGGAAGTCCTGGCCCTCCTGCAGGTGCAGTGACGTCAGGTTGTCCTCAAATGCGCCCCCTGTGAGGTCCTGTCGGGGGAGCAGCAGATCTGGCTCAGTCAGGACCTTGCTCCCTGGGCTCCAAGAGGCCACTGCAAGCCTCCCGAGGCGGCTAGGTTTGGGGTGGCCCTTGTTCACCTTCAGGTGGACTTCTCTGAACTTCTGCTCCCCTTCTAACAGAGGAGGGGCCAAAGGAGACCAAGGTCAAAGGGTAGCAGCCATCACTGCTTGTACCCAAGTCTTACCTGGCTGTGGCATGCACTGAGTCCTCACAGGCTGGAAGCTGCCAGAAGTAGCAGCCTGTGCCCACATCTGTGTCCTCCCATGACCCCTGCCAACACAGCTCAGGGCCCAGCCACTCCGTTGATGGCCAACCCCTCAGCACCTGCTGCATGCATGGCCTTCCCCTAGCCGGCATGGACTCCCACAGTTGGGGTGTATTTGGAGGCCTGGCTGACCAAGAGCCATCATACATGGGAGTCAGGACTTAGCGGGCAGCACCCATGGTGCAGCTGCCTCAGACCATGGGAGCAGAAGCAGAAGGTGGTGACCTGTACCCTGTGGTCCAGCCTTGGCACCACAGATGCAGTACTGGGGCCTGGCGCTTTGCACATTTCTCACAGATGTTGGTCTCACAGTTGTTTAAAGGCAAAAAGATAGGCCAGATGTAGAAGGTATCCTCCAACACCCCTGTGGCCTGCCCCCATGCCAGCCACCTTGAACTGCCTCCTGCCCCAGAGGGCAGCAACTCCTCCCAGCTTGACCCGTAGTGTTGCAGTGGATGTGAAAAAAAGCTGGCTTAAAACAAGGGCATGGACAACTGTGGCCATGTGTCCTCACATCCACAATTGCGTGACCTGGGTCTTGTCCTAGGCCACATGGTCATCAAGCAGCTACATGGGGTTTGATGTGGCAGAGCCCAAGACCCCTGAGCCCCCCAGATGAGACCTGACACTCACCAGCTTCACACAGATGACAAATGGTGGCTGGGCTGCTCGGAAGTGCAGGATGGGGATGCGGGGCTTGGGCCTTTCCTGAAAGAGATGGCTGTCAGCCCAGTCCTGAGCTCCTTGGCTTGCAACAGGAGAGGATGCCCTCCTGGGTGTGCGTGGCCACAGCCATCTGCTCACATGGCTTGGTGCACACAGGAACCCAGGCTCAGGTGGCAGATGTGCCAGGGACATGGGCCACAGGCTGGTGAGGGCAGTACCCTTGTCTCCACTGACCCCTCCACCTCCTCCCATTCCCTGCAGCCACCTGCAAAACTGACCAGGATGGGCTGAACTTGAGGCCCAGACGCATGAAGAGCATGCGAGGGGTTTTCCCCAAGGGATGGGCTTTCCAGAGACTCCCAAGGAACCAGGAGGCTGCATGTGCCAGATGGGGCCTAGGTGGACTATCCCAGGGAGGCTCTGGGCAGCTGTCACTCAGCCAGGAGCAGTATGGGTGACCCTGTGGGTGACATGATACAGCCCCACACACCTGAGAGTCCTCGTAGCAGTAGAAGCCCTTCCTAATCTTGTTCTCATCGACATCACAGAATGCAACCACCTGGGAGTGAGCACAAGGAAAGCACAGGGCGGCAGCTCTCGGGGACGGTCAGGGGTTGGGGAAAGGACAGACCTACCTTGCACTGGCTGGCGGGAGTCAGGCTGCGGTACAGCCGGCGCCCCTGCTTGCCTGCGTTCCAAATGGTGAAGGTTGCCCAGCGGGACAGGGCCCACTCTTCCAAGAAGTGAACACGGTGTGCCCAGATAGTTGTCCTAAGTGGAGAAGGAGGTAATGAACAGCCTGGGACACTATTCCAGGCCCTCAAGGCCCTGGCAACTTGGGCTCACCCTACTGATGGGTGGATACTAGGCCTGGCTTGGGACCCTGAAGAAGACTGGCCACCCTGTGGTCAGGCTACCTACCATAGCTGGATGCAGCCACAAGCCACCAGTGGCTTTGTTTCCTGTGAAAAGCCCCGGGGGTCACAGGACATATCGTCTTATCTAGGCGAGGACCTGCTCTTCCTATGGATCCCAACAGGTACTCCCACTGGGGACAGGGCACTGCAGACCCCATGGCAGGGGTGCAACCAGCATATGTGGCACCTCCATTGAACGTGGTCAGATGCACAGGAAGGGCCTGCCTGCCTTTCAGACCCTGCATGAAGCCAGCACTGGACAATCTGGAGGGAAAAGGGAGCTTTCCAGGGGCACACACGCATGACTTGACCCACATCAGACTCACAGAGATGCCTATGCAAGGGCATTTGTGCCCCATGTCAGAAGATCATGTTGCTCATGCCTGAAGTCACTTGCAACCGCAGGTTCACCGGCAAAAGCAGCAGCCTTCCCTTCCCCAGAAATGGTCTCAGGTGTTCCTGCCCCTCCTGTGACAGGCACTCACCCCAGGGTCCTTCCTATGCCTGCTGCTACCCCCCTGACCTCTGCATGGGCCACATCCTCCCCATCTCTCCTGCCAGGCTCCACTCCCATTACCATCGACCACTGGCTTGGGGGCACCTCTCCTGGAAGCTATGCCATGGGCCACCTGAACCTGCCACAGAGGCCAAGCTTGGTAGGCATTCCAGACACCATATTTGTCAGCTGCTGTGATGTGGCCTTCTCATCCAGGATTCCTGCCACAATGACCCTGGTGCCTGGCAAACCCCACCCTGGCCGAGTCTGGGGTTGCTCTGTAAGCCATGTCTGTTGGGAGCCCCTACAGGGTGGGTCTGGAAAGCATCTGGCTGGCCATGGACATAGCTCTGGAGCTGGTGACAGTGTCCTTGGAGCACAGGTCCAGCAGCCTTGGTCCCAGTGTCTGCAGGCCTCGGTGGCTCAGCAGTTCCTCCCACCTCAGCCTCCCTCCCCCGCCGCAAACAGAGACCCTTAGTTACAGCATAGGGTGGCCTCAAGGCTCCCCAGGGAGTTGATAGAGGAATTATTCCCTCACCCTGGACCTGTCCAGTCCCTCCGTGGCTGCTGAGCATTTGATTTCTGAGAGAAACGCACAAGCCAGGCACACTTCAGCCCAAATAAAACACCACCCAGATCCAGGGCTACACACAGACCTGGCCACATTCAAGAAAATAAGTTTCTAAGAACAAAAGAATAGTGAGCCTCATGCAATTAGTTCTAACACATGGAAGAGATTCTTTGTGTGAGGAGGAGACTGGTAGCCTCAGATGACAGAAATGCTAACCTCTTTTCCTCTAAAGTTGAGAATGCAGGATGCAACTGTCCCAGAGGTGACCCCAAGGTGAGAAGGCAAAGGGCAGGTTTGGGGGGGTCAGCACAGACACGGGACATTCTGGGCAGAGGGGCCCAAGGAATACACGAGGCCAGCAAGGTGAAGCTGCAGGTGGAGTCGTGGGAAAGGGCTGTGGGGTCCTGGCTGGATGGTGCTGGTACCTGCCCAGACCCTGGATGATCCTGGTGGCCATCTGTCTGACTGCTGACCCCAGCCCCGGGGAACCCCCTGTCTGCAGCAGAAGCCCTCAGAGGAAATGGGACGGGGGAGCCATGTGGTCCCTCTGTCAGTTCAGGGGGCTCAGGCCTCCAAAGAAGTCCTTCCTGGAGGTCACCTTGTCCTCACCCAGACTCTGTGGCCCTCTTGAGAAGCTGTCTCTTCCCTACAGTCCCACAGGGCCACAGGGAGACACCTGTTCCAGTCACTGACTCCAAGGCAGCTCCTGAAATATGCACGTGGGCATGCATGTGCATTGAAAGTATAGCATGTATGTGTGCAGTATAGATGTATCATGTGTACACTGAGAGGTGTGCAGTGTAGCTGTGTGCAGTGTGCATGAGTCTGCAGTGTGCCTACATGTGCACATTTGTGTGTGTACATTCGTGTGTATGTGTGCTGTGCCTGCATGTGTGGAGTGTGTACATGTGTAGTGTGAGTGCATGCACATGAGCACATTCATGCAGGTGCAGGTGTGTACGTTGAGTTGGTGCATGTGTGTGCATATGTGTGTGCAACTGTGCAAGGACAGCTCTGGCAGAGAAATGACAGGACTCGGCCCTGAGATAAACAGTTGATTATGGGTTCTGGACTCTTGTCTGTGAAACCAAGGCTAGGCTTGTCGGGCATCTCTGCAGGGGACAAATTCAACCCTGCCTCACTCCACCCACATCAGTTGGGAGGGACTGTGGGTCTACATGTAAAAGGGAAACTGTCAAGGCTCCAGAAGAACTTGAGGTGGGCACAGAAAGCGCCCAGCCAGGACAACAGACTCTTGGCCCATTTGAGACAGACTGGGAGGTTTCCTCTGAGGAGGTACCTCTTCGACAGCCCTGGGCCTCCTGAGTATTCTTTGGCGGTCTCTGATCTGAACCTGTCAGCGCATTAGAAGAAGATAAAGTTTATAAGGAGTCATAATGAAGAAACATCCGTAGTTTGCATGTTTCTCTTCATTTTTATACTTATTTCAGTTCGTGTTAAATGAGGGAGAACAGGACTCTCGAGTACTGCAGCACCTCTCACGTAACCTGCTCCAAGAAAACTGCAACCTTGACCAAGGGCTGGGAGGCAGGCTAAGATGCCCTGGTTCCCCAGCCCACAAACCAGCAATACCAGACCTTTCTGGGAAAAAGCTGTGTGTCATGAACATATCACTGCACTAGGAATCCCAAGGGTCAGAAGAAGAGGTGGCTGGACAGGCTGCCAGCTGGAAGGGACAGGAGGACAGGACAGTGTGCAAATTCAGTCATCATCTCAGACAAAACAGAGCAGCTGTCACTGAGAACATTCACACCACAGTGTCCTTGGAGACACAACACCATGTGGGGGTGAAGACGTATACCCTAGATGGGAGAACACACGCACAGTGTCCTTGGGGACACCATGCACTATGAGAATGAGTAGCTTAACAACATGCATCAACACAGACCGATCTCACCTATGACATTCAGCAGAAAAGCAATGTCCAGGAAGAATAGGCAGCATGCTGCCGTGTACACATTTTAAGAGAGGTGAAGTCCATTTCTGGAGAAACACATTTAGCAGAAGTGTAAAAGGATGGGTGAAATTATATATACCAGAGCAGGAGGTTTCAGGCATGGGTAATTTTAAAATTTAAGTCTACATTCCTTTATGACTGCTAGTTTGTCTTATATATTTCACAGGAAAAATTGCTAACTGCCATAAATGCTGCCCATTCTCTATTTATAGTACAAAGGACATAGGCAGCACTCTCCAGTGAGGACTTTTTGAGAAAAAAATGTGAAGGAATTGACTCCTGAGCAGCCCGAGGTTATAATTAAGTCATTACCTAGGAGGTGTCACCACCTGCATCTCAACGGTGTTTAATCCAATACAGAAATTCACATTAGATCACTTCTTTCGTGTTGTGGGTGGCAAAGCTTCATGTTGCCAAAAAAATAATAGCTCTGAGTACAAGGCAGCTGTGTTCCACAAGACAGGATGCTGGTGGGGCACAGCCTCTGGCCCACTGCTGTTTCCTCCTAATGTGCTATACCGGCCACCCCAGGCTGAGGTGTGCTGTGTCACCATGCAAAGCGACTTGGGTCTTACAGCTGCAGGAAGAACCCTGTACTGTGTAACTCACTTTGCCCATCTCAAGACAGGGCACACACGTGGTACACCTGAAGGATGGCAGAAAAGCCTCAAATGCTATTGCATTTCATTGTCTGCCGAAGAGCTCACAGTGCTGAAAAGACCTGTCAGCCACCGTAGTGTTACCCCAAGTTTCCAGCTCCACTCACACATGGGGGAAAGGGGTAACCTCTTCAGGGAAACACTGGTCAGGCATCTAAAAATTTTAGGTTGAGGTGTAATTTGCACAGAGTGAAGTGCAGGGATCATAAGTGCACAGGTCAGTGGGTTATGACACATACCCATGTAACCCACACCCACATCAAGACACAGAGCATCTCCCACACCCCAGGAAGTGTCCCTGAACCTTCATTCCCAGATGACATCACAGCTCCAGCATCTGTCCTCATGGTCCAGGTTCTGCCAGTTGGAGAGCTTCATGGATGTGGAATCCATAGTAGGTACCTTTTTGTCTGTCTTCTTTCACTAACCACATTTTTTACATGGATCCATGTTCTTGCATGTACCAGTAGTTTATTTTCTTCTATTGCTGAGAGGATACCATTAATGCAAAATTGATCACTCATCTGCTGTGGACATGTGGGCTGTTCTCAGTTCTTGTTTCATTTCTCTTGAATGAATACAAAGAAGTGGAACTGATGGGTTATAAAGTAGGTATCAATTTGATTAATGATAAAAAGGCAAACAGTTTTCCAAAGAGGATGGACCTCATTTTACATCCCGGAGAACAATGTATGTGAGTTCTGGTAGTTTCACAACCTTGCTAACACTTGGAATTGCCAGAGATTAATTTTAGTAGTGTCATGCGATGGTTTTGATTTGTATTTCTCTGATACTAATAATGATGAACACTTCTTCATTTGCTTTTTGACCATTTATGTATCTTGCTTTGCGAAGTATCACATCCATTTAGGTAATCTGCCTATTTTTATTGGATTGTTTCTTTTTAATTATTGGGTTGTAGGTGTTTTTTACATATTCTCCACACTAGTTCTTTGTTAAATACATGGGTTATGAATACTTTCTCCCAGTCTGTGGTTTGCCTATTCACTTTCCTAGTGATGTCTTTTTATGAGCAAACATTTTCAATTTTGATGAAGTCCAATTTATCAGTTATTAAGTGGTTAATGATTCTGATGCCCTCTATGACAAATTTTTGCCAGTTCCAAAATCATGAAGACATTCCCTGATT